GCTGAGTCAACCCTGAGCCGGTGAGATTTGAACCGCTGAACTGCTGATCTAGCAGTAGCCTGCAGTGCTGCATTTAACCACTGCGCCACCATGGCTCCTGATGGAGTGGTCCTACATTTCAATGGATCAATTTTACCCAGAAGAATCAGATATCAGATTGTTTTAAATGGTGAGCTTTGTTAGAATCTCTCTAAAGATGGTGCTAGATTGTTCTGCATTGGGCCACAGCCTACTTTAATCCATTCCTGTTATAAGTAGAGTTATAGTTATTCTTTGAGCCACATACGTGTTTATCTGAATCGTAAGGGCTAAGTATTCTAAAACTACTTGTTAGAAATAGCTTGTGTAGAATAACGTGAGAATCTGAGACTAAATTACATATAGGTAATCCTTAACTTACAGCAGTTCATTTAGTGGCCATTCGAAGTTACAACAGAACTGAAAAAAATGACTTACATCCATTTTTCACACAATCTCCCCATGATTAATGATCAAAATTCAGCCGCTTGGCAGCTGACTCATATTTATGATGATTGCAGTGTCCCGGAGTCATGTGATCACCTTTTGCAAACTTCTGACAAACAAAGTCAATGGGGAAGCCAGATTCACTTAACAGCTGTTACTACCTTAACAACTGCAATGATTCTCTTAACAACTGTGGCAAGAAAGGTGGTAAAATGGGGCAAAATTCACTTAACAAACATCTTGTTTAGCAACATAAATTTTGGGCTCAATTGTGGTTATATATATTTGGATCCTATTATGTTTGAATATTTCCTTCAAATATTCCTTAAAAATACTTAAACACATTAGAGAAAAGCTTTGCATGGCCTTCTTTGCCTGAAGAATGTAGGTTGCTTCAGACAGGAAGTATTTCTAAAGTATTTTCTCATGTAGCCTGTTAAGTAGTTCAGATCGGAAGCACAATTAGGACTGCTAACTATTTTTATTGTAAGGTTACGTTTGCAGAATCTTGCAAGCCTGAAAATAATTTCTCCAGTGCTTTATTTTTATTCTGCAGAAAAACCAGGGAGGGTGACTTCGTATATATTTTCCAGGTCGCCTTCGCTTCGATGGGCTGAGATAACTGTCTAGGCTGCGACTCTTCCTCCTATCTCCCAGGTTTTTTACCACATTCTATTATAGAGTAGCCTGAAATGGTCCTGTCTAAAGACTCTGTAATAAGGTACTCACAGCATTTCAGAACCGCCCAAAAAATGAAACGAGCTACCATTCTATAACTTACGTTCCCTCTAGTATTTTTCCTATAATGATTTTATCCTCTAATGAGAACTTCAAGAAAAACCTGTACCTTACATCTACTCAGATGCACAGAAGTAAGCTCTGAAACGCTTACTGAGTTCTTTGTTCCCCCAGATACTTGTTATGTCCTCTCTTTTGCGGTGATCATGCTAAACACCAGCCTTCACAACCCCAACGTCCGAGACAAGCCCACAGTTGAGAGGTTCATCACTATGAACCGTGGTATCAATGACGGGGGCGACTTGCCGGAGGAGTTGCTGCGGGTGAGAAGTTAGCAAAGTGAACACAGGGCTAGATGATTCTCTGGTTTGAAGGCTAGTGGGAGGGCTCTACCACCTTTTGTAGTTTGTTTTTTTTACCATTTCAAACATTCTCTGCCCAGTCCTGAGGTACTTTTATATAGAGTTTCCCAGCCTTTGCAACTTTAAGACACGTGGACTTCAATTCCCAGAATACTGCAGCTAACTCTACTGGGGAATTCTGCAAGGGTTGAAGTTGGCACATCTTAAAAGTTTGCAAAAGTTGGGAGTCCCTATTCTCATACTTTGTTTTCACATAATGCTATTACTGCGACTGCAGTTTCTTCTACATTCATTTAAAATACTTTGCTTTCATTTGTAAGTGTGTTTGATTTGTAAATTTTGGAATTATTTTATCCCCTCCATTGTATAGTCAATCAAGCATGGTCACTGTGCCATGGAAATTCAAACAGACACACCTTTTTTCTTGCCAAGAAAGGAATAGAATTCCTGTCTGTAATTCCACTCCTTTCTCCCCTCCTGCTAGAATCTGTACGACAGCATCCGTAATGAGCCCTTCAAGATCCCAGAGGATGATGGGAACGACTTGACCCACACATTTTTTAACCCCGATCGTGAGGGCTGGCTCCTCAAGCTGGGTGAGAGGCGCGCCCCCTGTTTCCTCTTTAAACACTATGGCCTTTTCTACCCTTCCCCGCTACCCTTCCCCCTGCCCTCTCCCACCACCCCTACCCCACGATCTTTGCACGCCTCTGCACTCTCCTCTCTTCCCCCCCACCTGTTGTGTCATTTAAAGCATGACCTCTCTCTTCATCAGATCAAAGGGATCCTCCTGAAATCCACCCTGATGTCCCTCCCTTTCCCATTAACCAAATATATATTGTATATAAAAACCCACGGGGATCCATTGAATTGCAGAGGTCTTCCTTTCTCTCCCCGCCTCCCAGTTGAGGTGGATCTTCTCTGACAGATGATGAGAGGGGTCTTCTGGGATTTTTGTGAATTGCCTTTAAAAGCAGGCAAGTAACCGAAACCCCAGTATCAGGCCACTGAAAACCATATCTCTAGTGTCTGATATCTCACCATTATTGCTGGTACCTTTTCAAACCTATTGGATGCATCTATAAATCAGGTGGGGTGGGAGAGACAGATTAAAACAATGGAATATTCCAGCCTTAAATCTCGATTCATAGTCAGATCATGCAGTCTTTACTTTTCCACACTATTTAGGGCAATTAGCCGAACTACTACCAGTTTAACCTCTGTCATAAAACATTGTTATTAGTGTAGCTAAAAATGCACATTGTAGAATAATTATCTACCCTTGGGCTACTTTGTAAACCAGAGACAAAGAATTCCTCCTTGAGCAAGGAGAAAGTAGCTTTATGATATCATTGTTAGGTTGAAGCAAGTGGAATAGCACTCTCGACAAGAGTGAGGCACGAAATAGGTGACCTTTAGGATCGTCAGGGAATCTTCCTGTCCATCCAAAGTATCAGGCAAGGCCACAAATGTAAAGTCAGATCCAGACTAAAAGAAATCCAAAGTGACACCATAGATTCAAAAATGGTATAATCCTTGGGATCAGCTGTTTTAAGTGATTGGATGGGACTCTGATCACTGAGTCCTGATTTCCTATCAGGAGATTGAGATAGAATAGTACAGGTAATCCTTGACTTACAACTATTTGTTTAAACAATAATTGTTTAACAATTGTTTGAAAATACAACAGCACTGTAAAAAGAGACTTACAGACACCCCTTGCATTTATGACCACCCCAATGTCCCCATGATCATGTGATCCACTTTTGGGTGCTACGCAACACACATGTATTTATAATGGTTGCAGCATTCCAAATTCACGTGATTGCTTTTGTGATCTTCCCAGCCAGCTTCCAACAAGCAAAGCCAAGGAGAAGCCACATTCACTTAATGACCGTATGATTCACTTAACAATTGTGGCAAAAATCATCATAAATTTGGGCATAACTCACTTAACGACAGATGTTGGAAATTCAATTGTGGTTGTAAGTTGAGGACTATCTGTAACGGTGCTTTATTTTGCTCTTCTATGTTCTGATTAGAATTTAAATCAGGGTAAACATTCCTGTTTGTTCTTTTGCTCTTGTAGCAAATCTTGGCTTTGGAGCAGAGAACAAGTTAAGGAATAAAAGCATATAAACTGAGCATATAAATATTTGCTGGTTGAAATAAACCACTTTTAAGTTCTTCCACCAACGATGTGGCTGTTTCCTACCACATCACCCTTTCCTGTGCAGATCAACACTAGAATGTAGTGTTTGCTGTAGGTAAAATATTGCAGGTCTTTTGTTGTCAAACTGAAATAGAGCAGGACAGATGGACAATAAAAAGAAGAGGAAGGATTGTGTGGCCCAAACATTGTATGTTCAAGGTGAAGGAAAGGAGAAAAGAAGCAATATTTGTGCAAGGGCAGGGGGGGGGGAGGGATAGAAGTTAGCCTAGTCATTTTCCTCAGAGAAGTTAAATGGACAGTGAATTAATTTTGAAGAGCTGTGCTTTGAATCTGAATTCTGGCTTGATTAAGATGCAGCTTGCTGGACAAACCAGAACTCTACCTGTAGAAATGAGTGATTAGCAAACCATTGTTGCAATCATTTTTGCCTCCGTGTGGAGGCCATTATGTAGCAAAGTTAGTTGTAGCATGGTTTGCAAATGTCACCTAAATCTCTAGAGCAAGGGTGTCCAATCTTGGCAATTTTAAGATCTGTGGACTCTCAAAAGTTGCCAAGATTGGACGCGCCTGTTCTAGAGATAGGGTTTTCTGTAACCTGTCAAAGGTTTAAAAAGCCTTGTCATTTAGGAAAGTTATGCCTATCCCATTTATACCCATTCCCATAAAATTTAAAACCTTCCTCCCTCTGCCTGTCCCATTTTCCTATCCCATTGCCCTCAAATGCCTATGTCTGTGTTGGAGGATTTTTGATTTGACCATGTACTTCTACCTTATGTTGATGTAACTTGTTCTCCTTTCTCTCTCTTCCTCTCTCTCTTCCTCTCTCTTTTTCTCTTCCTCTCTCTCTTTCTCACCCCCATTCTCTCTATCCTGATTCCCCTGGTCCCTGCCTTCTCTTCTCTCTCTTTGCTCCCTTCTTTCCCCACCACTGCTACCCTTCCCCCCTCTCTCCTCCACCATCCCACGGCGCGGACTACATTTGTTCTACTGTCTGAATACTGCCCCCAAACCAGGAGGTAGGTGAGAGGAGGGGGCCTTTTGCTTTGCAGTTGACAGCTGGTTTGCCTGGTGCATTTTGGACTGGAAGCGGGTCTGCGGTTGGGCTTTAGGGCATGGAGGGATGGGAAATGTTGTAATATCAGTTGTGATGGGGTTCAGTGGATCCAAAATGAATGTGGAGGAAATATAAGGAACTAGCATTCTCTTCACCCCTAGAATAGTACATGTCTTGATGCAGGGGTGAGCATCCATTTTCTGTTGAGTATTCTATCATTCCCTCAGTGATCATCTGTTTGGGACCATTTGATAATTGGAGGGTGGGGCTGCAGCAAAAGCAGTGGGTGGGGGCACCCATTCTTTCTTTTTGATATCCCCTTCATCCTTCCCTTTCTGACACTTTCCCTTCTCTCTCAATCTGTTTCCCCCTTTCCCACCCCCCACCCCATTGCAGCAAGCCACCAGGTAATAGACACAGCTGTTGATAGAGCTTTGAATTGATCATGTTTATAGCTTTAGGGCAGGGATGCATACAATGAAGCTGTGGTGCCACTGGAAGGGAAGGACAAAATATTAATGGATTGAGAGGTTGAGCAAGTTTTGTGGGGTGGGTGAGAAAATTTCATCTCCCCAAGGCTTTGCAGTTACTCTCAAGCCTTCAGTCCTATCACCACCATATTCAAACAATACAATTGTAGGTGTTTTTGAGGTATGCAGATAGGTTGTGAATTGTTCACAATCTGCATCTCATAAATAATCTACCTGTCTTAATGGATTACTTTTTAGAAAGCAGGCCTATCCTCCTCCCCCCCAATTGAAACAAAAGAGAGATAAGGTGGCTGCCACAGAGCATAGATTCTTGTATCTTTTAATACTCATGCAGATTTCGAGATGCAATTTCCATTGAGAGGCAGTATGTTATGGATGTCAGCCTTAGCTTCCCAGAAGTATCTGCTTGGCAATTATCGGAAGCAACAAAGACTGGGTTATGTGGATTTTTGGTCTGTTCTGAAGTTCCTCAAAGAGTATTTTGGCATCTCATAGCTTTGTCCATTTCCACTTGAGAGGCTAAGGACTCTTTGAAATTACCTTAATTGAGAACTGCCAAAAATAGGGGGGTGGGGAAGAGTTGAAATCCTTACCCAGTGATAAACCAGATTTGCACCCATGCATTTGTACAGATTAGCTTTGCCTCAAGCTGGGAATGACTGTTGGCTTTGCAACAAATTTGAACTTGTATCTTGTTTCAAGCCTAGAGCAATTGCTTGCTTTGCATGCTAAAAGCACTGCTTTTTCTTAAAAATGTAGGTTGAGTTAAAAAGAATCAAGTGCTTATGCAAAAGCTGTTTCCCTCTGGAATTGAGAACTTTGTTTAGAGAGGCTAGAAATTTCTCCCAGTCTCCTCACAGTGACCTTGTTTAGAGGGGATTTGATTCTGAGACACAGCTGTGCTTTGTTGGAGCAGCTTGTATTAAGTCAGGAGTATATTTGCTTTTTAGAGTGTCAATTTATGCTCAGTGATAACCCTGATATTTAGTTGCTAAAACGCAGGTCCAAATTGTCCCAAACATACTTTTTCAGAAGGCAACTGGACTTTCTTGTTTTTCTTTGAAGAAGTTATCTCCAACAGCCTGAGCCTGTGTTCAACCATGAAGGGAGACACAGGGCAGAGAGCACAGCTCTAATTTCTCAATGAGAAACCCTGAGGACACAAATAAACCTCCCAAGTGACCTCAATAACTCTCTAAAAAGAATGTAAATAACCAACTGTCAGCAAGGAATATAAATCCTTTCCTTCCACACCATTCCTTACCAAGAGCTGAAGAAGCTTCTTGGGTAAGAAGTGAAACATCTTCAAAGAATAACAAGAAAGTCCTGTTGCCTTTTGAAAAAGCATCTTTGGGATAACCTTGACCTCGATGACTGAGAATCTCCATAGACACACTTCCAAATTGATGCTAAATTAAAGCTACTCCCAATATTATAAGCTTCAGGACAGCCTTACAAATCTTGGCATAAAAAAGATTCGAATTGTATCCATTCTTAAGTTTACATTTAAAAAAATAGGAAATAGTAATTGGAATCCCTCAATGCTCATAAAATAAATCCATTGTTGGAAAAGGTACTGTTTTGCAAACTCCTAGAATCCTTTCCAGCTGTGTTTCATTACTTTGACTCAGTTTTGTGCTGTTTTTGTCTTGTTCTTCCTTCTTTTTTTCCCCTCTTGTGTCTTACGTTGTTTCTGAATTCTTTATTGCATTGGCTTTGTTCATAAGCATGGCTTCCTTACCCAAAATATGAAGATAGAGAATGTTTAGTGACCAAAGTAGACATAGATGTAAAATGAGAATGGATTCCCCTTCTTGTTTTCAGGAGGACGGGTGAAGACCTGGAAGCGACGCTGGTTCATCTTGACTGACAACTGCCTCTATTACTTTGAATACACCACAGTTAGTACAGTTTCCCTCTCCCACCCATCCTGCACTCCTCCTATTTGCAAGTCGGAATCATAAAGAGTCCTAGAGTTTGCAATTCAGGGAATCAAATCGGCCAGGCTTGCAACAAGAGGATGGTAGTCTAGGAACAATGGCCCACTCGGAACAGAAAAGTTGCTCAATAAATATTACATTTACATGTAATATTACATTACATTGTAGGTAGAAAGAAGGCAGGATGCAGCAAACTGTTTCCCTAAACTCTGCAAGATTAACAGCCAGTTCATAATTGCTCCCTGCATGATTTTTATGGTTGTAACCAAAATCAACAGTATCTCAAATACAGGAGCACCAGTGCTATTCCAAGTCCTACGATCAAGTGCTGTAATAGATAAGTACATTATGAGAAGCTAGGCATAGACTGCCATCTAGTCTGTCACACTGGTGAAGAGTTAGTTTCTCTGGGTTAGGACTCTAATCTGCTTTATAAAATCTATATTATCTGAAATCATCAGAGACAATTGTTGTCCAGATCGGATCTGGATTGGTCACCAGGACCAGAGATTTACTCTAGATTTGGACTTGTGCCCATCCTCAGGGAACCTCTCTCTTTGGAATATGTGCTTTAGGCTATTCCATGAGTCATACTTATGTAGTGCCTTCCTATTGGCTGATTAGTGTGTTGATGGCTGAAAATCGGCTAAAGTTTCCTTGTGCTACCAGGCCCTCATGGAAGGACCCTAAGCTGGTAGAAAATTAGCACTCCTGTTAGTTAATGTCATTTGATAAGGGACCCGTTTCCCAGGCTTCAGTCATTTCCCTGGCTAACACTATTCAGACAATGGGAAGGCACCACATAAGTATGAAGCATAGAATAATCTGAAGCATATATTCTGGTAGAGAGAAGTTCCCTGAAGATGGGCTCCAGCACAAGTCCGAAAGCTCAGAAGAGTAAATCTCTGGTCCTGGTGACCATCCCAGATTTGAGCTTGCAAAATTATTCTGGGACACATATATTTGCCTTCATTCATGAGATATGATTATCATCACCCTTGATTTTACCTTCACAACTGCCTTGTGAGGGAGTTATGGCTGACAAATAATAGCAATAGCACTTAGACTTATATACCGCTTCACAGTGCTTTACAGCCCTCTCTAAGTGGTTTACAGAGTCAGCCTATTGCCTCCAACAATCTGGGTCCTCATTTTACCTTGAAAGGATGGAAGGCTGAGTCAACCTTGAGCCAGTCAGGATCAAACTTCTGACAGTTAGCACAGTCAGCCTGCAATACTGCATTCCAACCACTGCGCCATCAGGGCTCACTAGAATCGTCTAGTACAGAGATGGTGAACATTTTTCTGCTCGGGTGCCAAAAGGGTGCACACATGCACGATAGCTCGTGCCCACACCCATAATATAATGCCCTCCTTCAGTACATGCATGCACAACGCTCCACGCATGCACGCAGGTTTCATTGAAGCATCCGGACTTTCAATAAGCCAGTTGGGCCATTTTTCGCCCTCCTCAGGCTTCAGAAAAGCCTCTGGAGCCTATGGATGGCAAAAAATGGCCCCAACGAGCTTATCGGAAGTTTGGAAATGAATGTCCAGTAGTTTTTGGCATCCACAGGCTCATGGGGCTTTCCTGGAGCATGGGGAGGGCAAAAACTGCCTCCTCGCACTCTTCGGAAGGCCGAAAATCAGCTGGCCAAAGCGCGCATCCGTGCTGGAGCTGACATAGAGCAATGCCTCGTGTGCCCTCAGATATGGCTCTGCATGCCACCTGTGGCACATGTGCCAGAAGTTCGTCAACAAGGGTCTAGTGAGTTTCATGAAGGGGTGGGGGTGTCCAACACTGAAAGTACTTCATCACAGCAATGCTCATTCCTCAAACTCTAGAAAAGGCCCCATCTAACATAGTCTTTCTCAAATGTGTGCCTTCCAGACACATTGAGAATAGCGCTCTGAGAATTTCCAGACATTAGTTTACAGTTAAAAATTCTAGGAGCTATAATCCCAAATTAGGGAGAGTAATTAAACTTGGCCCTCCAAGAGATTTCCTGGAACAAGATGCTTTCAATGCCCTACCTTTTCTACCTACCCAGATTATTGGGCCTATTCTGTTTCATTCATATTTTTAAAATCCATTTTTAGGATAAAGAGCCAAGAGGCATCATCCCACTGGAAAACCTAAGCATTCGGGAAGTAGAAGACCCACGGAAACCAGTAAGTGGTGCTGTATTATGATTGCTTACAGCATTGCTAAAGTGGCTGCTTGCTGGATATGATTCGTGGTTGGCCACGTTTCCTTTGCAGAAAAAATTATATTTCACTTTTCTTCTGATTGTCTGCCTTGGACCAACAGTCCCTAACTAAAGCTTGGGAAGGCAGGCAGGCAGGCAGGCAAATAAAGCAAAGTTTCAAGACGTTGGATAGCCAGAGAATTAGCAAAAGCTTTTTTAAAAAAAAATTTATAGGAAAGATCATTTGCATACTTCATTTACCTCTGTTTCTAATGGTTCACAACAGAGAGCATCAAGGACTCCACAGTTCAACCCTGAACCACAAGTATTCCCTTTTATTTTCCTTCTCAAAATATTCTCTTTTATTTCCCTTCTCTGTACTCACAAATCTGCTGGAAGGCATTTTCATGAACCATTTGCAAAAGAGTGGCCTTTTAAAGGCTTTCTCTTCCTTTCATCACTCTTATTTTATTTTTGTAGAATTGTTTTGAACTCTACATTCCCAATAACAAGGGCCAGCTAATCAAAGCCTGTAAGACTGAGGCAGATGGACGTGTGGTTGAGGGGAATCATATGGTCTACCGCATCTCGGCGCCTACACAGGAAGAAAAAGATGAGTGGATTAAATCCATCAAGTGAGAATAAGACTTTTATTTTTTTTCCAGGATTCTTGATTCCCAGCTGTAGCTCCTGATAATCCACTTGAAATTCCAAGACTTTATTTAGCAGAAAGAGAAAGCAATTGATTTAACTTCTATGGAGATTAACCCAAACTTTTGCACAGAACCTTCAGAACATGTTATGATATCCATCCCATAAATCTTGAATTTTTTCCAGAATTTGACAGCCTACTCTCACTTAATAAGATTTGAGAGATATTCTTAAAAATAAATCTGTTTCTTTTTATTGGGAGACACAGATGTTGTCTTAGGCAGGGGTTCCGTGAGCCCAGGCATGCTACTGGGCTGTGTGGGGTTTGCAACCGTGCTACGGAAATGGCCAGCAAGCACACGTATATTCACTTGGGCAAGTGCGGGGAGCACATGCATGTGCGCTCCATTTGCGTGCGGTAGGTGCATGTGCATGCCATTGGCACAAATGGAGTGTTGGTGCACATGCACATGAGCTTACTGGCCACTCATGCAAAACCGTCCCCTTCATCCTGTGCAGGTCCACAAAGCCGGAAACTTTGGGGAATTTTGGTCTTAGGGATCTCTTTTTTCTGTTTTTTTTAATCCTGTCTGTTCTTCTTAGTTAATATCTGTCATGCAGAGATATTATTAAATTAGAAAGATTTCCTCTTTCTAATAAACCTTTGGTTACATAGTTCAGAAATGAAGAAACTGATAGAATAGTCTTAATATAGTCCTTAGAGATTTTGGAGCTAGAAAAAGAGGAAGAAAAACTTGATTTGGTAATCTTAGAAGTCATTCTATTCAAAGTATTGCAGGGAAGGCTCAGTTGAAGTCCCACATTTTAATCTTTTCACATGAGTTAAGAATAGGAACAGTCCAGAGAGGCTTTTATTATGCAGTTTAATAAAAGCTAAATGTTTCATTCAGCATTCTGAATAGGACAAATTCATAGTGGGGTTCTTGGAAAACATAGAACTAATAAGGCAAAAATTAATTAATGCAGTAGAAGTGCCACTTCTCTGCAGGTGAGAAATGAAACATCTGCGATCAAAATATTATAGCCTCTAAAACTTAGATATGTCCAATTTGCTTCCTTCAAAAATAAATTAGTAAGTGACCAACTGTATTAAAATCTTTAGTCAAAATTTTCTTATTTTAATCTATTGATCTGAGGCTGCATTTCCTCATTGCAATGCATATAGGAAGATTGCCTAAAGAGCATGCCTTTTGTTGTGATTTAACATTTCAACAAGTATGTATAGACATGCCCTTTACTTCTTTTCCTCCCTCTCCCCTTTTTTCCCCATTTCCTTGTTAAGCACATGTTTAGACCACTTGATTTGATTGAAGGATTAGTTGGTGTGGGTATATAACACAAGTGGAGCTAATAGAGTTAAACTGAGCTAAAAAATATTGTGGGAGTCCAACCACTATCTTAACATGTTCTGTGGCGCAAAGGCATATTATGACATAATTTCAGATTGTAGCTTGTCCTGTGAACACAGACATTCTCTTGACAGCAAACTAGGCTTGGAATGTGGTGCATTACATAAAAGCAACCATTATAATATTAATGGCTAAGCAGGATTTGGAATTTGTACTTCCAGATCTACGCTGCTTGAGGCTTAAATGGGGGTAGAGAGAAACACAGTCCCTTTCCCTCTTTTGTACCTGGCTCCTTAATGCTCCATATCACACTTTTTTTACAGGGCTGCTGTAAGCGTGGATCCTTTTTACGAGATGTTGGCTGCCCGCAAGAAACGGATCTCAGTGAAGCAGAAACAGGAGCAGGCATGAGGTGGGGATTAGCTAGTTCCCATCCTTTCCCCTCTCTGTACATCCTCCTGTATTATCTCTCGGATCTTCTGACAAACCCACCTGGGTTGAACTCCATGAAACCAACCATTCCTATCGTGGGTCCACCACACTACTTGGCCAGTCTAATGGCATGCCAGCATCCCACTGCCTCCACTCACTCATCCCCCCATCCCCAGAGCTTCCTCTAGCCCTGTGGGAGTTTGCCAGTGGGACTTGAGCTTGGGCAACTGCCACAGTGCCGCAACTTCAGGGAATGGATGCATTCTTTGTGTTTTGAGGCAGCTTCTCCAAACCGAATTAATCTTCAGCCTTCATCAGACAGAGTCAGATGTTTTGAAGCATCTCAGTTAACCCCAGCACACCTTGACTAGGGGCAATCAGCTTTGATCATGGTAAACGAACATTTCCTACTTTGACTGGACTTCTTCGTTCTGCTTCCCAACATAACAGCTGGTCTGCATGTCTGAGAAGAAAAAAAATGGAAAAACCCTTTCAGACTATTGGCAGTTTAGAACGTGGGGAAGCCCTTATTTTCATTCATCGGTTACAGAAAAATCACACCTTGCTCGCCTAAGCCAAGCACATCAGGGAGTAATCTAGCATGTCTTTTGAACTGCTAGTTTTCTGTGTTTCAGGATCACTCACGTCATTTAATTTCCCCAAACTGCTTTCTGATGCCGATAATCACAGGAGCATTTTTGACATGCTTTTTCTCTGTAGGATGTCCCTTTGAGTTTGTTGCCAAACCAGTCACATTGTGCATCCAAGAAAGCAGTATTCTGGGTCTGGCACACTAATGTTTATAAGCACCCTATTTCCCATTATTTGGGCTTAAGAAAGGAAGTAAACACACCAACAACAACCAGCTGGGGCCAGAGAGCCAGACAATTAAACTATACACACTGACATAATTTTGAACACTATTTGTAGCCTTCAACAGGAATAACTGACACATTTGTGACTGACAGCTTGTAATTGTTCATTGTTAGGCCCAGAAATCATGGTTCCCAAACTTCCTTGACTGCCAAGCAAAAATTGTCTTATGGAGTCATTAGAACATTGCCTCTACCGCTAATTCTCCCTGATCTTTCCTGCCTCAAGTGTAGCAGCAATATATGTGGGGCTTCCTTCTGTAGTTAATTCAATACATTTTTTGGTGGCTTACAGAGGAATTCAAACAAGAACACTGTCATGTTATAACATGATCATTAGGACACTCCCTAATTGGGTGATGACAATTCTGTTTCTGTAGAACTGCAACAAGAATTGCCTTTCTGCATTATCTTTTTCAGATTCAGATTTTTAAAATTCTGGAAACAGTTTTCTTCATTTATAATAAGTCATTATATTATCAGGATGTTTAAAAGACTGTATCTCCCATTTTTCCAGAACTCATTTATACTTGCACATTCAGGTTATAAGATCAGAGAACAATAAAGAAGGAAGAGAGAAAGAGCTTATGGATTGGAAGAAAAATTAGTCTGTGTAATTAGTTGTGTGCATATTAGGAAATGCAAAAACAAAAGAGTCCTTGATTTACAACCAGTCTCTTAGCAACCAAAATTACAACATCCTCACTCCCCAAGAGCCAAGAACCCAGATTCAAAGTTCCAATAGCTGGGGCCCCACCCCACCCTGCAATGATTACACTTTGGGGTTTTGGCAAGAATCTTGCATTATATGGCCATTTTCAACTTCCCATGGTTACAAGACTTAAATTTACCAAGTTTTTTGCAAAAAAACCTGACATTTACTTACTGGCAAAAACACCCCCATTGCAGACATAGGCCCCCAAAATGTTGAAAATTGAAGTGGGACCCATTTTAACAACTAGAAAAATGTATGACCATAATTCCAGGCTCAATTAAGTCAAGGGCAACCTGTAAGTTGTTGTGTTACACTTTTTCCTTTTCCCACCTTCTCCAAGACTTAAGAAGTTTGCTCTTCCCAGTGATAGCCTCATCTGACTGGCTTCCCAAGGCCATCTCCTACTCAAGTGAGAGGGATATTGTACTTCTTTATCTTGCAACTCGCAGCTCCAAATCTAGTCCACCGTTGCTTTTCCTCAGGTTGTCTCTTAGGTATAACACCTTGGAGCCTGAAGGCTTTTTCAAACCCCCAAGCTGAGCATTCTAAATCACCAAGCACTTTGTGGCACATCTCAGGCCTTTGTGAAGAAGTAGTGCAAAGTCCTCAGGAGCTGCAAAGGTATCCAGCTCGATATTGTAATACCTTTGTCCATGTGCATTTCAGCCTGATTGTCAACCCCTGCCCCAAGAAAAGACGCATTGAATGTTGAATGTTGAATTTAAACCCGAAGCATCTTCTCCCAAGTTAGAAACTCTGTGGTCAGAATGAGGGGTTGTGTTTTATTCCATTTAGAAGAAAAGCATGAGAGAGAGAAAGGCAGCAAGTGAAAAGAAAGGGATTGATACTAATTTTCAGTCTTTGTATAATGAAAATAAATACCAGAAAATCCAGGATACTCTTTAAAACAGCATTTTCCATCTCAACCCATTAACTAGTTTTCTCAAAGCTGACCCATCTGCTTTATACCTGCTCAAACCCATCCTAGAAAACCCCTTAATCTCTAATCCTAAAGACTGGCTGGTGAATTCTGGGAGTTGAAGTCCACAGATCGTAAGGTTGACACAGTGGGACAGCCTTGCCCTAACCCATGCCTCCTTTTCAATCTTAATTTAATTGTGTTCCCAAAGTGGCTAGCCTTTCCCCTTCTTAACTAAGGTTTAATTCTATTTCAGATCCAAATGTGTAACACAAATATTTTTATAAACAAGAGTTTCAGAAGAGGAAGATTAAAATTATTAATCTTATAGCTGGCAAAGAGGAAAGAGATTGCCTTTTTTCCAGCTGCATGTCATAACCAAAATGATTTCTCCTTAGCTATGATTTGTGTGGAGATGAGAGGCAGGAGAAAGCTCCCTTTATTTGTTTGAAGGATGAGTTTTTACTGACACTTTCCAGCTGCTTAATAATGATCAATCCCCCCTACCCCCATACATACAAAACACACACATACAAACACACACAATGTCAACATTCAATATTGCCCTTGGTTCTTTGACCTGCCTTCTGATTTTATATCTCTAGAAAAGCATCTTTGTACATTGGGACTGATTATTACTTGTTCTTCAGCAATACAAATAGTCCTTTTCTTCATTACGGATTT